TGCTGTGAATGTGGGTTATAACTGGTATGAGAATGTTAACGTACAGAAAACCAATCTAATAAACAAAATAAAACTTTGTATATTTGTTAATGAAGCAGAGAAATGTCTTAATCACTTGTTTTGATCTTTCTCAGCCTATAAAGAAATGAAGAAAAGCTTACATTGACTGACTTCTGGTTAGAAGCTTCTTGGTTTAATACCGATAAAAAATTTTGTTTAAAAGTCTTAAGATGTGCTAGGTGCCCAGCTTGTTACAAGCTGCTTCTTGAGCTGACATGAGGTGGCAAGTACAAAATTTCGTGGTGTTCTGGTGCCAGAACTTCCATTTATCCAGACACAGTCTCAGTCTTGATTGCTATCTTTTCATATAATCTTACCTAGATTACCACCGAGGTGGTCCTTCACCTTATTTTTGGACCTTTCTGTGTACACCAAGGGAAGACATGCCTTGTTAGTTCTGCAGGTGTGATCTGATCTCTTCATTTTACAGAGGCTGCATGTGCTTCTCTAAATTGGGTGAGGAATGAAAAGAAGGTTTTCTAGCCAAGCTTGCCACAAACCTAATTCAGATTATTCCGTTATGAAAGGGAGGTAAAATAAATGTAACTTAATGTGTGCAGTGTTGGTAACTGGATTTGGTACAGCAGTGATTATCCCTTACCTTTGGAGTAGGCACTGGCTGTTCTGCTTGAGAACATTTGCTTTGCCATGCTCAGCTTGGCTCGTCTCCCTGCAGGACTAACCAGTGCCTCTGGAAAAGGTTTCTACTGGTGAGGCGTGGGAACTCTTTTAGTTCTGCACGATGATTCCGTGCATTTGTTCACTTTGTCATTTTTCACTCCAGTGGGTTATTTTTCCTCGTACTCTTCTGGTCAGATGTTGCTTTCACAAGAGACTAGTAGGAAATGTGCTTCAGGAGCAGAACCGCTGCCTAGCAGCAAACTTAGTGCTAAAAAATTAGACTGAAAAGATGCTCCTGGGCCATCGAGTTTGGCTTCCTGATGGAGAAGTTAAAAAGTACCATATAATGTTGGTCATAAATCTGTCAAGTTCTATTTTAAAGCCAGCTTCTTTGTCCTCATTCCTCCTCTTCTTGTTAGATGTAATTTTAAAACAGTCTGAAAGAAAAAGGAAAAAAAAAAAAACCCACCTTCAAATAGCGAAGTTTAATATGCTGCATAAAATTAATTTATGGTGAGGAATTCACTAACCTTGTCCACCACTAATTGTTCTTTTTCCCTCTTCTTCAGTTAGTTTTGGGATGAATTGCATTCCCTCTTGGGCTTCACTTCTTAAGGAAACACAATCCCGAGTTGTTGGCTCTCTCTAAAAAGAGCACAGGTATCAGGCAATGCTAAATTTGCTCCTTTGAGGCCGAGGCAAAACAACTTGTCCCACGCTGGTAACGCAGGCTTGAATTCCGCAACACCACTCAGTGGTGATGGTGTCTGCAAGAGGCAGAGGGTTTGGTTCATCTAGAAATTTCTGCGGAGGGGGTGTCCCTTAGCTTCTCTGTCCCTCTCTCCTCCCTTACAGCCGGGTTTGTAGTGCTTTATTTCGGAGACAATGCAGAGTGCTCCTGACTGGGTGCATCGCATGGCAGCTGTTTGCTGGCTGGTATAAGCCTCTTCTCTGCGACTCACTGTGCGCCTTCCTTCACCCCCGTCCAGATGTGGCTGCTCTAGCAGCTCAGGAAGCAGACCATAGCGTCCTGGAACGGTTGGGGTTGGAAGGGACCTTTGGAGGCCCTCGAGCCCAAGCCCCCTGCCGGGAGCAGGGACCCCTTTAGCTGGATCACGCACGCCGCAGGGTCTGCAGGCAGCACGTCGTCACGCCGAGGGCTCGGGTAGTGTGTGTGGGGGGAAAAAAGCTCTTTGCTAGGCAATTCCACCAGGAGCGGTTCCCTAATGTAGCCTATATTGCACGCCACCTTCACCGCTGTTTGCGAGATCTGTGCGAGGACGTGGCTTTTCAAATGCCCGCTGTAAGGGTGAGGAGTGCAGCTCGGCAACATCCGAAGTGCAAAAATTGTTTGTGCCTGCATTGTGCTCGTCATAAAAAGCTCGAACTGTGATAACGACACCCGGACATGATCATAATATATGATTATACGATAAAGGGCTTAATCTCTTCCCCTTTTCTGCGATCTTGCAGTGCTTCATGTCGCAGGTCGGACTGTGTTACGACCAGTCAGACTTCACCCGGCAGCACGTGCAGGGTGAATTTGCAATTTAGGAGTCTGCCCGTCCGGAAAACGTGCGTTGCTGGGTAAAGGTTCGTTTGGTGAGAAAATGTCACTTAAAAGTTCGTCTTTGGTTAGTCTTCGCTATTGTTATTCCTTTGGAAGTTGTTTCTTGCCATGAAAGATTCGTAGGTGCCTCCTTTTTTAAGTAGTAACCAAAGGCAGCCGTGGGGGGAAGTTCAGGTGGTTTTGTAGGGACTGGGGCGCTTGGGAGCGCCAAGAGGAAGGGAAGCAAAACCGAGTGTTGTGAGTGTTAAATACTTCTCACCCTAGAGAGAAAAGTCTTCTACTTACTAAGTGTCTTCAAGAAGGAAATGTGTTCCTTAGTGCTGTAATTCCATTATTGGTGGCAACGTGAGCAAAATAGACTTTCAATTGCTGATTTGTAAGGCGCGCTCAGGTACGCGGTACGAACGTTTGTGAATTTGCATTTGGTATCACAGTCAAAGGAGTCATTGTACCTGAT